TGAGTAGTACTCCACACATCTGTATAAATTAAATCCAATGGTGCACGACTAGTCATAGTATTGATAGAGAAGGGTAATTTATGACTTTTATTGATATTACAAGAAGAACACGAAAACTGGGAAACATTTGTAAAACGAGAAAAAGACGGACAACGACGAACAATAGCACTTAGAGTTTTATTGTTTGGATGCCCCAAACGGTGATGAAGATCAGCCACAGAGGAAACCGCAAGGGATGCCGAGTTCACGCACGGCTTGGACAGAGACGGAAGATAATAGAGATTATTTTTGAGTGCTCCCTGAAGTAGTGGCATCCCCGTATGCACATCCTTCACAAAAAAACGATCAGAAAAGAACTCAACTGAGACACGATTAGTGTGACATAATTGAGAGACAGATAAAAGATTATTTTGGAGAGAGGGAACACATAAAACATTAGAGAGGGTAAGGGACCGAGAAGGTGTAGATAAAGTGGAACGGCCAGTGTGAGAGATCGTTAAATTCTTACCATCACCCAAGCGAATTTCATCCGGTCCACCATACTCCATGAGGGAGCTGAGCGCATGAGGATCATGAGCAACGTGATGAGAGGCGCCACTGTCAACAATCCATTGGGCATCCGAGGTGCTACGGCTTCCATTAGAAACCGTGACATGCGCGGCAGGGCAGTCATGACGAGGAGGAGCAATTGTGACATTATTATCCTTTAGAAACCGCTGAAGTTTCCGGCAAAACTTAGTGTCATGACTCGCCAGATCACAAAACCGGCAGTAGCGTCCAGAAGTGGGGTTTATGGTACCCCGACCACGCATACCACCACGGCCACCACGTCCAAAAGAACTTCCACGATCACCACCACGCATGCGATGTGCGTGATTTGCCGTAGGGACAAGATCGGACGCAGCAGATGCGCGATTGAGAATTTCACGCTCACAATCCTTCAAAATAGTGGTGAGTTCATCGATAGAAATATCAGTGTTACACCCCCGTAATGACTGATAAAGAGCTGAATAGTCTTCTCCAAGCTGAGACATGATGTGAACCGAGAGATCCTCATCTGTGACCGGGCTGCCGGCCAGGGCAAGGTCAGACGCAATGGTTGTCATGTCCGCAACGAAGGCATCGATGGTGCGATTCCCACGAGGATTCTTTGCTAATTGGGACTTGAGAGAGATAATACGCCCGCGAGACATATTAGCAAGGTTTTTGGCCAAGCGAGACCAGGCATCCGCGGAGGTGTCCGCGAGAGAGATCAACGGTTGAACGATGTCGNTGACGGCGCCACACGAGATAATTGGTCTTGGTTAATTTGATGGGAAAATGCTTGGAGGCAGACATGCGGATGAGGTCCGCCAGAGACGACGAACCAGAGTCCACGGAGCCAGATCCGGAAGTAGTCATGAAGACTTACTGGAGATGAGAGACGCACAAATATGTCCTCAAAAAAAAATCTGTTTAAAGAAGGGGCTCTGATACCATATACGAACGGAGTATTTGTGAATAATTGAGTTGCAGTAGTATTCATGTGATGAGGATATTTATACACGTACAGGGCATGTAACTAAGCCTACAAACTAGGAGAACAACCTATACAAGTGGAAGAGAACAAGTCTAATGCTATAAACAAGGGATAAACACACAAGCTACGTAACAACTATTCAAACTATGCATTCTTATCTACTTATCTCTAACAACTAGTAAAAAGAACATGTGGGATAAGAAGCACTTCTTGTGAGAAATGACTTGGTCGTCTCTTTTTAAATGGCTTATTTACAAATCAATATAAAAATAAAAAGTAAAAAGTAAAATAAGATCGACCATGTAGGAGTTTATTTGAACCTTTGCCAACATTTCAAATGGGCCATCGTCTCAGGGTTGTAGTTTTGACTTGCATTTAGTAAATAAATGCGCCTTATGCACGTGAACCCATACTAGATCGCCAGGCTGAATAGACCATTATTTCGAGTCACGACTCTTCTAAATCTTCTCTTCATACGGGACCTGCAAAAAACTCAGCACGTTTGGTATAAGGTACCGTTAACGAAGATATGTCTCAAGTGGAGATTTTCGCGTCAGGAGTGACGACTTCTTTGTGGGTCTTCTTTTCTTGCTCTTCTTCTTTCATCTCTATAACCCAAAACGGGTTATCCTCTGCGTCTTCAGACACTTCTTCATTCTCTTCAAAAAGTTCTTCATCCCTAATGGGATTATAGTCCTCGTCATCGTATTCATCCCAAATGATCTTTGGGGTACTGGGCTGCATGGTTTCAGTAGCTTGAGAAGAAGGTAGTTCGGGGTTTGAACCATGAAGAAAGATGACTCTTCAAGGGTACTTTTGGGAGTTGTGGTAGGATTAAAGATATATATATATATATATATATATATGTATGTATATATATATATATATATATATATATATATATATATTAACCTGAAAAACATCACCACTAAGGGTGTGTGATAGAGCCCAGGTACGCTCTATCTTATTAAATTAAAGATGAAATTAATAGTACAAAGGGAGAGGGTGGGCTAAACCCAAACAAGGCCCAATAAAGCTAAAAAAAATACTCCCTCCGTCCATAAATAAACTTCTCACTTTCCTTTTTCGTCCGTCAACAAATTATCTTCCCATTACTTTTTTTCGCAACTTTTTTTATATCAAATGACTTTATTACCCTCCCCTACTTTTCTTCTTCATTCTCGGCCCACCACCCCATCCTTATCTAGTTATCTTCTCCGTCTTCTTTATTCTTCTCTCCACCAACCAATCGTCATCTCCTTCTTTCTTCTTCTTCTTCTTCTTTCTTTTCTTCTTCCTCTTTCTTTTCTTTTCTAATGATTTTGTCCAGCCACCACTCTATCGTCATCTTCTTCTTCTTTTTTTTCTTCTTCATCTTCTTTTATCTGTTCTTATTTCCTCATCTGATTTTGGCCTAGCACCCATCGAAAGTAATGGACTAATGGTGGAGCAGAGAAGTGGCGGTGAGATCCGCTCCTCTTTCGACATTGCTGGCATTGATTGTATAGATCTACGAATTAAATCCTCTGATGCTCCCATGATCGATTTGCAAAATCTTTTCTTCCGCCTCAATCAAAAACTTAGATCGGCTCTTTTTCCGCCATTAAAACCTTGCATCTACTTTTTTTTTGATGTGTTGTCTTCCTTGAGAAGATCCAGAACAGATTTACATGGGTGGGGATTACAGAAGAGCTGGGGGAAACAAGCGCGCTATAGAGGCCATCCATGGTGGTGACGCCGGAGATCCGCTGTTGGTGGGGCATGAGATTTGCCGTTGACGGTGCTTGAGGGTCTGGCTGGTGGTTGCAAGGGGGATGGACGGAGGGATATGTTGGAGAGGTCAGCGTTGGAGAAGTGTTGAGGTGTGGGGGTATAATTGGAAAGTCAAGGCCATTTTTATCACACATTAATATGCGTGCCGGGTGAAACCGGGAAGTTCTTTTTTGGACGGAGGGAGTAATATAAAGTCCTCAAATTCTGCCCCTAATGGGCGAGGAAAATATGAAAAAGGAGAAAAGAGTTAGAAGAACTCCAAGTTATCCAAATCATCCTCAAACTCCTCAAAATTCTCAGCATCAAGTGAATTCTTCCCATTGACGGCTAAGTGTGCTATCTCCTCAGCCCGAGCCTTTTTGAGTTTCATCTTTGCCTTCTTTTTCTATTTTTTGCTAAGCTTCACTTGGCATTTCGGGGTTGGAGTGCAGGTTTGGATATCCGTCGTTTTGATTGACGGACAGCTCCTCTTGAAAGCGGAGCGGATGCCTTCTACGAAAGATTCTCTTTCCTCATCAGATGTGTCAACTCCCTTAATTGGGTGCTCTTTCCTTCCTGCTGCTATCATCTTAGCTCTACTTCTGGTAACCATATGAGAAGGTGAGTAGGTTGCCTTACCCTTAGCTAATTTTGGAAGCTGCATTGACATTTTAGAGGAACTAGGAGTTATGATTCTAAAAGGTTCAAGCTTAGAGTCAATAAAAACAGTTTTCTCTCCTTCTGAGTGAGTGTAGAGGGCAGGTTCTTCAAATTCTGGGCCTGCATCCTCAAGAGCATTTAGTTTCATCATCCTTGCAGTAGAGGAGCAATTAAATAAATCCATCAGGTTGTCACCTCCACTGTTGAGATTACATGCCTCCAAGGTTTCCTCATGGTCCTCACTTGATTCAAGAATCCCGAATGGATTAAGGGAGCAGGGAATGAAAGTAAGAGCTGCTTGAGATGTAATATATTGTTGGTCGAGAGGTGCTTCACACCCCATGTCTGCCTCTGCTCCCTCCCAGTGGTCTTTAAAGAGGAGAGAATTCGATTCCTTTGCTGTGTCGTCTTCCTTATCCAATCCTGTTAAACTCTGATCTGCACGAAGGGCAGGGATTGCACTGCTGAGAGCATGTAAACCAAACTCAGAAGTAAGTGACTCGGTGTCCATTGCAAACAAACACTTAGAACATGAGTGCTCATCCAAGTCTAAACTTGGATCAGTACAAAGCAATGCAAATTCTCTTTCAACAGCTTTGGGCTTCTTGATAGATTCATTTTCCCAACTAAGAAAAGAGTTGGAAGCTGAAACTTCTTGGTCAACTAGGTTCACTAAGGGTGGTAACCAGTCTCCACATCTTATGTTTGACATACTGCTAGCATCAACTGAGCATAATATTGACGTATTCTCAACTGCCCTACAACCATCCTCAATAGATGAGCATAGTCTCGATTTCTCAAGTGCACCACGGTAGAATTCTTGAAGGTTTAATGTGAAAACTCTAAGCAACTGAAAATTCATTCCTATTGGGACTAAAATTGATCTAGAGCCTTCAATTCTAGATTCCGAAATAATCACAAAGATCTCATTATCAAAATGTTCCACTGCAACTTTAATAACCCTCTTGCCAATGTGCTTTGTAAAAACCCAACTAGGCTCAAAATAGATTCTAAAAAGACATTCCAGTATCCAACTCAAGAGGTCAGAATCGAACCAGATAACCTTGTTGCTTTTACCCTCAATAGATAAACAAAATGTGTGGTGGTGAAATGAGTGGAAAAGACAGAATTCTTCATTACCCAATTTGAATGATGCTCGCAAATTCTTCGTAAGATGAGTAGGTGGTTGGAACTGAAGCAATCCTTCTTGCTGTAACACCTCTCGAGGGGCTGACCTGTGCGAATTTCAATCATTAGCAATAGCGGATGAGTTGGGTTTCTGAGTGGGGTTCCACCAATTTCGGCATTGGGTGAGGGAGCCTCTTCGATCACCATGTCGATATCTAGGTCGAAATCTATCTAGGGAGTTAACGCTGCACGATGTGGTACCTGGATCGAAGAAATAGTTCTTGTCACAACCTCGATTGAATTGATTTTTTCGATCACCGTTATAAGCCCTTTGATCCTTTGAATTAAAGCATAAGGTTGGTGGTAGCCGGAAAAATGAAGAGCGATCTACAGGGCGGCGGCGAGAATCGCCCCGCTCCCTCCTCTCTCTAAACCTAAACATCATTATATATAAGTTGCAGCATGAGAGCTATAAGTTGTAAGTTTGTGACATCTTCGGTGAGCTTGTTATCACTCTCAATGCCCATACATTATACTTTTGTATCATATAAAAGACTTGTTAAGAAGAGAGGAATAAATTATATACATGATTAGATCAGTTTATTATATCAGCACAATATAGTAAAATAAGATGAAAATTTAAATTAAGAAAATGAAGCATAATGGCAATGACCTCATGTTATAGAGGCTAGATAGTCTACTCATGAGGTGAGGAAGCAAAATACTTAACTTGCTCATTCTAACAAAAAAGGAAGCCGTACCAACAACAACCCAGTAGAATTCCACAAAAAATAAATATAATTAGATATTTCTAGAGTCTTTTAAACATAATTCAATATTCATTTATAAATATACAATAAAATCACCAAAGGTCAACCACAGCTTTTCAAAAAGGCATTTGAGAACTTGTGTCAAATGATCTTAAATTGGACACTAAAAGAAATAAGGGTCACATAAACATTATGAGCAGCTTAAACAATCATGACTCTAATCTCTTCCAAGTATTAAGTTATTCATAAAATGAGCATTAAATTCATCCAAGTAGAGAAGCATATAAGGAAACCTTAGGAGTCTAAAAAAATAAATACTTAAACTTGATCGATGTGAAGGAAAGCTATGAATAAAATATTGAATTAATACCAAAGAAATTAATACAGCAATAAATAATATGTCTTCAAATTGGAATGGACACCTTTTCTGCTTGCCTCGCCTAGAAAATCTTAAGGCGATCAGGCGCCGCCTTTCCTCGCCTTGATGCCTTCGGCCCCTTCAAAATTTTGAAAAACCCATTTTTTAGTGCAGCCCAATTGCTTTTAGTGTAGCCTAATAGACTTAAACTTTTCTTTCTCTATCAGTCTTCTCTGTCTCAATCAAGCTTCATATAGGTATGTATATATGTCGCCTAGTCGTCGCCTAGGCAATATGAAGGTACATTGGCGCCACGCCTTGCCTTGCCGTCTTACAAACAATGTCTTGGATGCTCTCTCATGAAACTTTCAAAAACTGGCATAGAGTGTGAAGTCAAATATTGGGATAAACATGGTGTACAAATACTGAATTTTCCTAACTTGGCGTGATATATAATTATTGTTTGTATTTTTTTATTTGAAGTACTTCGTACAATTTAAAACCAAAAGGTTTTAGTGCACAGAAAACCATAAGAAGATGAACTTTTAAACCATATTGAATTAGATTGCAAATAAAATGTAGAAGTGAAGTGGGCAGTGCACATACCACAACAAAGGTATCATAAATTAAAGGGATGCGTGATCTTTATATTGATTTTTTCTTTTTTTTGTTTTATAAAACTGAGCGTAGGATACATGATCACAGTGTAATAATGGAAAGTGAGCTCCTCCATATCGTGGTTGACTCTACAGATAAGTTTTCATTAGTTTGAGTCTCTGTTTCGTTCAACTTATTTTTTCTGATCTGATCTGATTTTAATAAGTTCTGATGGTCAAATATGTGTAGGAAGAAACATAATTTACCCAAAATTGTGGAGATATATAGGTAAGATGGTCAAATATGTGTAGGAATTGAAGAGTTTCTAAAGTTTACCAAATGGAGTTAGACATATAGGGAAAATTGGAGATATATAAATGGAATCATCATTATAAATATTTGAACTATGTAATGAAGATATTAAAGGTAAAAAATTAAAACCAGAAAGATACTCATCATCATCTAAGAAATATAGCACCACGAATTCAGCATCATCCTCTTCTTTATATTATTATGGCGACAGATTCTCTTCCCCAGGAAAAAGGTTTTATAACAAAATTCAAATTAGATTCTAGAAATTACCGAGAGTTCATCTATTTTCTCACAGTTGAAACTAAAATACCTGATATCCAGTTGAAAGCGGGGAAGGGACACCATCACTATCAAAATGCTTATAATTTTCTTGCCTCTATTTTTTCTTTGATTGAGATGAAGATTGGGAACCTGACTACCTTGAGGCTACAAAGGGGGTTAAGGTTGAAGATAACCCACAAATCCAATCTTTCATTCAGTGGGTCCAGTGGAAGACCTAAACAATATAAATGTTGTAGGTGAACTTACCCATATATTGTAATTATCATTACGCTCCATATGAAATTACCGTATCATTTACGCCCCATATTATCCAATTAATCTAGAAAGAAACAATACTCACAATTTCATAAAATAGTAATTTGGAATTCAAGAAATGGAACAGAGAAAAATTGGGGATTTGGACATACCTCATACCCCAAATATGTGGCAGAAAGGTAGTGTCTGGACTCTCTGCAGCGGCTCAACGGCTTGAAACTGAGAAGGCTAGTCAGCGATGACGAACCTCTAATCAACAATGAATCTATATATCCTCTTCATAACCATCATATGTGTGTTTTAAAAGCCATAATGCATAAATTTTTAACAGATCCCATAAAACCAAAATAAGAGCTAATATAAAAAAGCTAAATATTCTATCAAGATCCTTGAACCTTATTCCTACACTTTATGAAAAATTCAGTCTTCAAATGAGTAGTTTTTTTAATATCCTCACAACTCTTAATTTTCAAACTAATTTATTTCAAATGCAAATAATTAGAGATTCCAACCGTGAGATTTAGGATACAAATCAAACCAAAGAAAGATTCCAGTCATAAACATAGATGAGCAAAAGGCTTGTTGTAGACTTTTATTTGGGAAATTGTGTAAGAAAAAGTAAACAAGAAAAAACACAATTAAAGAAACTTGGAAAAAACTGAATTTTCAAAATAGCATAGTAAATTACAGAGCATAAACAGATTCACACCAAAATGTTAAGTTGACACATCTCTACTCGAGTATCCAAATTAGCCGTATCAAAATTTATCCTTTTCAAAAGATCACTTACTAAGCCAAGGGCTTAAGTGCGATAATCATCCATCCAACCAAGAAACCTAAAAATTGAATCTTTGCTGAGGAGAAACATTTATAACTTAAAGAAATAGAGAAAAGAAAAATGCTAGAGTTGTAAGGAATGAGAACTTTGCTCGACAGTTTTTTTTCCTTCTATGTTCACTCAAAAGCTTGCATATGATTCAGAATGACTCACAGCTAAACAGGGCCTCATCTGTTCTAAGATTGCAATAGCTGCAATAGTGTCCTTAAAACATTAGGGTTTGAGATCAGAGCAAAAAATTAATGAAATGCACCTCCGGTAGTAGATGTGCCGCGGTGTCGAGGTCTACGGTTTATCTTCGTCGCAGGTCTCCGTGAATAATAGCAGGTTCAAATGGCAGGGAGAGTGTAGGGTGTAGTGAATGCCAGCTATGTAGGGCCAAGAGTGTACTGAATGCCAGCATCGGCTCTGTGTTTGTGTCTAGCATTATTGATGGCGAGTATTTGCATGCGATGCACCCACTACATTAAGGTGCAGCAGTTTCGGCGGGAACTTGTTTCCATGTCGCTTTGTAAAGAGTAATAATAATGTGTATTTGAGGTTTGATTATGTAGACTTCGACTCTATTCTCAACAATGTTTGACAATTGTAGTGTGAGGTGGTCTCATGGGCTGTTTTGATGTGTTTATGATCTCACCTTTTAATTGTAGGCTGCCCAATATCTTGACATAAGGAGCTTGTTCGATCTCATTACTCTAACTGTAGCTAAGATGATCAAGGGAAGTCACCCAATGAGATCAGCAGAATATTCAAAATCAGGAGAGACATCCCATGGGCGGAAGAAGATCAAACAAGGAGAGAGAATTTATGGGCATTTCCAGGATAATGGTTTGAAGCCCCTTATATCTCTTTAATGGTAGAATGATGCTATGTCACTTGAATATCATATCCTCTAGTAGATGCCTTAAAACTAATCTTTGTTTGGTTTGGAAATAAATGACTGGACGGTACCGTACTGGCGGTACCCAGGTACCGTACCGGCAGCTGCAAACCTTCATTGTTTGACTGTTTGACTCGATTTAGAACCCGAATTGACTCTGAGCCTTTATGTGTTGCATGACGGTAAATGTAAGGTGTTTACACCCGACATTAGGCCGCTATTTGGATTGCATGATGATTTATTTGGTTAATTCTGTTCTCTTGATTTGTTGTAAATGTGGTGTGATATGCCTTTAACGAATAAAGTAAATTGAGGTTGTTGTTAACTTGGATCTGTATAATTGAAGTAGGTTAATGAGATAGGTTACCTAGATGAACTCTAGGACTACTTTGTGAGAATTGAGATTGTGAATTGACATTAGGTTGTAGAGCCTTGTGGACTTAGTCCAGTGGCATTCGGGTAAAGATGTACGTACATGGAATCTGGGATCTAATCCGTAGGATTGGAGGCTCCACCCAACTGGCGCCGTAGGTACTGGGTTGACCAGAATCATGGCCGTAGGTAGTGGTTCTGATGTCATAGAATAGACTTTGAGTCATGGCTGTAGGTAGTGGCTCTAAGTCCTAAGATAAGAATGTGGATAATGAGTAATTGGCCTTAGCCTAGAATAGGTTATGAGCTAGTGTTGGATATGAGTTAATGTAGTGGCTTGAATATTGTGATAGTGACATTTGCAGGTGCAGGGTAAGTAGCATATTGTGTGAATTGTTGATATTGTTATGTGATATTATTATGTTGTACTTATGTGCATGATATTGTATGGAATTATGAGCTAGTGGGTTCGTCTATGTGCGTAGTTGAACGTTAGATAGATTCCACTCAGCTTCATTGCTGAGCGTGTAGCCCTTTTTCATATTTGCTACACGTAGGTAACAGGAATGATGATTAATGAGACGATCTTGGAGGCAGCGAGGGCGAAGAGATGGATGGATGCTAGCTGGAGGAGTTATCTAATTTAATATTTAAGTTTGAATTATTATATTCTTAAGGGCAAGAACCCAAAGTTGTATTTTGATTGAGTACTTAAAGGCTTCCGCACCGTTTTTATTTACTCTGATGGATATTTAAATATTGTTTCGAATTAAATATTTTAAATTGTTTTGAAAATTATTGCGTTTGAGTACCAATTTAGTGACAACCCGATCCGCTGGTCCTTGTATTCAGGTCACGCGGGTTGGGGTGTTACAATAGCTCTCTACGAAACAGGGAGAGAATGTGTATGGTTGTGTTCAATGATCCAACATATGCAGAGTGTGTATGGTTGTTATGAAATATATAAATTGTTCATTTATCAATTAATTAGGTCATGCTTCATCATAGTTTTAGGAACAAATTGTCTATCATCACCATCAAGGTGTCATTTGTATAGTATGTATACTATTTGTAATAGTCTTACCACTAAGCCTCTCCCCTATAAATAGGAGACTTAGGATACCTGCAAAACACCATTAAAAAAACAAGAAGAAGAGTGATGAATTAATTGAGAGGAGAAATCAGAAATATATCATATTTATCTTCATAATCTTTGAGTATTTTTCTTCCATTTTATAACAAAACTTATTTTAAACTAACAAAAATTAAAAAGAAAAACCAAACATATCAATTTTATATATACACGTAATGCACATGTGGCATGTCACATGCAAACATGAGATCACCACATTTAGAGTACCCTACTATATATATCGAGGAGTATACTCCGTTCGTAAATGATATCAACAAATAGTTTTTCTCAAAATATTCTTCATATATATCTTACTTTTTGCAATCAAACTTTACGTATTTCAACCATTTTTATCACAATTTTTCAAGTGAGTTATTTGGATGGGAAAAGTTAAATGTTCACTTAGAAAACCATTAGAAGTAAAAATGTAGTTGAACATAATCTTACTACTCTCTCTGTCCACCATAGATCTTCCCAATAGCCTTTTTTCTTTGTCCACAATAGATCTTCTCATTTCATTTTTTAACAAGTAAAATACCACAACTACCCCCACTTACTTTATTTATTACACTTCACCCACCTCATTTAATACACTCCACCCATTTCTCATTAAGGATATTATAGTAAACTTTCACCTTTTTTCAACTCTCCTTAAAAACCACCAAAAGTCAAAATGAGAACATCTTAGGCGGACGGAGGGAGTACTTTCTATGAAACATGTATAAACTTCACTTATTCCGAAAAGAGCTGAGAGTACACCATATAGTACACATGCATGTATAGTAGACATAGAGAAAGAAAAGTTTCCTCAAACATCAATCCATCCTGATGATACTGCCACAGTGGTAGGTCTGGTGACAAGAGTCACCAACTCTAACAGTGAACTGGTGCAAAGGCCTGGCAAGAAAAGGAGGCAAATTCACCAGCATGTCACAAACACACTGGTCATCCACCTCCTTCAGCCACCGGCAGCAAATCTCTTCCTCTGGGGAGTGGCGGCGGACGTGGTGCGGCGGCGGGTGGTGGTGGTGGTGGTGGGACCGGTGGTGCCGCTGCACCGGATGGTGGGGCAATGCCGGAGAAGGCGGAGGGCTCCTGGGGTTGAGCATCAGAAAGGAACAAGCGTGGTTGACTAGTGTTATCTGAGACGCACACATTGGGGCCGGAGGCGGCCTCCTCCAGTGGCTCTCCACCGCTAGTGTGGAGGGCGGTCCGAGGAGGAGGAGGAGGAGGACGAGGAAGAACAATGTTGATGCTCTCATCCTTGAATTGTTTTGTGTTGGACATAGTGAAGTTTCACTCGTTATTATATATACACATTTTGTTTTGTGTATCATGGTTGGATAAATTATAGGTTAGCAGTTGGGACAAGGCATTTGTTTTGTGTGAATTATAGTTTGGTTTTAGCACCATTTTACATTGATGAAGGTGTTGACCATTGAGCAGCATGAGAATAGTACTGTAGCAGAGCTACCCTAGGTATTTTCTTTTTATAAACGATGGCCCAGCAGATGACACCTAAATGCTTTCTCTAAAAGTTGATGGCCTTTCGAAACAACATTTTAAATTGTAGTGGTGTAGTTTAATTCTGAAAACGCTAACACTAAAAATTATCATCAAATAGTCTTTTCAAAATGCTAACGATAACCTGTGACATTGATGCCAAACTAAATCAATGTCAAATAGAGCCAAAGACTATAATACAAAGCATCAAGTAATAAATACTCCAATTTTGAATTGTCACTGGTAATTAGAATTAATCTTTGACCTACAACTAAATAAAAATTACATAAAACATTTTACAAGACAAATATAATAAAATTATTCTTATATCAATATCTAATATAAATATAATCTAATTTAATGGCCAAAATTTATCAACTTCGACCATAAAAATCAAAAACTTGACAAATACTCTAAAACAGAGGTAGCAAGTAGCAACCACTTAGAAATAATGAGAAAGGATAATGCGTCAGATCATCCCCGTAAAATCTCATGATCCAACAATAGAATTATCGAGAATCATGCGATTTAAAATCAATGTAATATAATGTCTAAAACTTAAGTGGCAAGATTCCCTATAAACCCATCGCTGAATCATTGTGAGAATTGTGGCATTAACTTGCAATCCACCCAACAGTCGGTTTCGAGAGAGAAAATAATGTGACCAGAAGATAATGACTGGTATAGCAACTGCTGTAACATGTTGCTACTAGTGTAACATTATCCTTCCTTTAGAGTAATAAGTACCCAAGTCAAGCCACGAGCCTTTATGCTCGAGTAAGTAATTATATGGCAAACAATATTATGATCTAAAATAAAGCCCTGTGCTTCTATTACTCCGTATTTAGATCAGATGCCAAATAGTGATACAGAAAGAGGTATGTATAAGGAGAAGATCACAAACTTCCATGAAACATACTCCGAACTTCGTAAAATAAACTACAAAGCAGAGACTTGTGACTGCAATGGCGAATCAGAGATGTTCAGAAAACACAACTTCAAATTTATATATTTTTTAATGCAAAGTGTAGCAAAGGAAACATGAGACTCAATCATCAAAATCCCAAGGGGGGGAAGGGGAGGAATACAAAACTACACAATCTTGTAGAGTACCAATTTCTGGTTATAACGTTTGAACTTGGCAACAAGATTGACAATATTCACCTTGAGGATGTAGTGTTCAAGGCCAGTTGCAAAAATGCATTGCAAAACACTGGCGAATCAGTTCTTAGGCTTCTTTTGCAAGGCAGGGTCCCCACTGGACTCGGGTTTTCTCTTTATTCCCAGGAAGTGTTCAACCTGTGTAACTCAGAGATAATGTAAATCAATAAGATCAGATATGGAAGTAATGGATTTTGGAAGATCTTTTAGAGAGCATAGCCAAACAGGTCTGAAATACTCAAGTACAAATTACCTTTTTATCGCCGAGCATCGGTGTTAAACTCCCAGGAAAATCCTTCTCGACAGTAGCAAAACCACTTCTGGGATCACTTGTTTGCCTGGAAGCAAATACAAATAATCGATACCAAATTCTCTTTTATTTGCATTTCATATTTACCCAACTTGTTTATTCTAGAGTGAGCTTACGAGTCATGACTCGTGCATAAGTTATACCCCTATGTCCTGCAATAATAGTTCTTATTTCCTTTTTGGGAAGTCCTAAAATATTCCTTTTTCTATTTTTGGAAAAGTTTTGTAGCGCATATTCTTTCTTCTATGCATCACTTTCAACCACAAAACTTCACTTTTCTTAGACTTTGTGCCGAATTAAATGTGGACTATTATTTTGGGACAGAGGGAGTAAATAACAAAAGGGTCTGGGGCTCGACTTGCTAAAACACGAATAGAACTCAAAATATCTAAAGTTCAGCTCGGCTCATTAGATTGCACCCACTGGAATACTAAAATATTTACCATATATGGAACTAGTGGAATATCACTAGTGTCCATATACTTCGATGGAAGCCTTAAATATCAAAAGGAGAAAATATATAAGTATATAACCACTACATCAATCATAGAAGGAAAGACATACCCTGGTTTAACATTTCCACTAAGAACTAGATAAGGAGTCTTCAGTTTTTCTTGAGCTTCCCGCATTCTCTCCACTGATTGCGATGGTGTGTCTGAATTTTTCATTTGTTTTATCTTTAGTTCTTCTTGGTACTGCCGCATGCGTTTTTCTTGTTTCAATTTACCAGGGCCCTTTCCGTGAAACTTATGGGAAATCAACCTAAATGCCTCTTTTGGAGTCAACTAGCAAAACAGATAAACAGAAAGAATAATAGATATAAAAAATATATAAGTGATGATTAACTAACGATAAATTGAAAAGTGTGCAAATGTTGAAAAAGGAAAGATTAGTTGAGCAAAAGAGCTTACAATTCGACCATACTCATCAGTCCTTTCGATATGTATTTCCTTAGGCCCTTCCTCATCAAGAATGCCAGCAAGCTTACTTTTCTTCTTGTCCATGCTTCGACCACCCCATTCAATTGTTTCCTTGAGTGATCCATGATCTTTCAGACGCTTGAGAGCTCCAGATAACCCCTTCCCAACAGCAGCTTCATGTATCGTACCATCTGGAACTATCTCCTCCTCCTTCACATTTGTTTCCTTTTTCTCAGTTTCTTTCACCTCGGACCAGCCACCATCCTCGGTTATAGATGTTTTATCAGGAGAATTAGGTACCACATCTTCTTCCATGAAAACATCTTCATCACCAGGTTTCTTTGCATCTGAAACAGTAAAGCAATATATGATACCAGAGCACAACTATATCTACAAACAGTGCAACGTTATAAAGAAAAAAACTAGGTGAAAGTAAATGTGGCACACTAAACAGGGACCAAAAAACACAGATGGGACATGGAGAGACTAAAGGTTGAGTCGTTGACATAAAAGCTTGTAAGGAATGGTATCAATTCATTATTTTCTCATCTAGAAATATAAAATGGTGCCTGGAGAAAAGACAAACAAGGGAGTGTGATAAAACAGGAAGCATAGGGAACAGAAACATTCAATATCTCACTCAAACATTCCAATCTAGTTTCAGAATAGACGACAAAATTGATCACGAAAACCACTATGACAGACCAAGTTTATAGGGAAGGCATCTACCTTCATCGAGCTGAAGACCCCAGACAAACTCTTCCATTTCTGAGAAGACGACCTTATTCTCTTGCAAGTCCCCAGATGCAGAGGTGTGGCTATTATTATCTACAGTTGAATTGTTTGCATTCAAAGTGGCGAGAAATGCAATGGTCTCTGGTGCAGATTTACTGGCCTCTTGCGTTCTCAGAGCTAATTTTCTTGCCCTTTCCAATGATTTTCGAAGCTCCTCATCATCAGCATCATCATCAAATGCAGCATCATCATCGTCCTCAGCCTTGGCAGTAACAGGTCGAAGAGCTTTAGAAGCTTCCTCGGCCTTTGCGTATGCAGTCTGGTATGCCTTATCTCGCTTCTCAGTCTCAGCTCTCTCATTTTCCTCCTTCAGTTGCTGCCTTGTCTTGTCATTCCGAGAACCAAGATCCCCAATACCCAATCCAGTAGAGATAGCCTCTGCTTCAAGGGCATTAATGTCCAGCTTCTCTTTCTTCCTTAGTGACTTCTTTTTCTTGGGCTTCTTAAATTGAAGCATTTCTTCTTGAGTATAATAGTCTGTCAATACTCTGCCTGAAGAATTGAGATCTTCAGCATGATTTTTTGTGGCAACCCCTAGAATTCTTTTTCGGAGCTGGCATATCAAAAAAATGTATGCATATTTCGATCAACAAAAAAACATGTTACATTCCAATGGATTATCCACAATTTAAATGCACAAGAAATTAATTACCTCTTCCAGTTTCTTCTCTGCATCACCGCTAAAACGTCCAGTTTCATCAAGAGCTACGCTCTAAAATTAAGGATAAGAAAATTAAAAAAAGACAGCACAAATAAATACAGCAATTCAGTAAGCATTTATTAGAGAGAAAAAAATACCTCTTCCTCCATAGGATCATCGTATTGAGGAAGCATTTTCTTTTCAAAACCAGGCTCGTCACTACATGAATTAGATAACAGAAACATGTAAAGCATCTGGATCATAAACACCTTGTTCTATCAGTTATTTACTAAACCTTACCTCCGATCATAAATCCCTGTTTTCTTCTTTGCAGCTTTGTATGCATCATCCCTCCGCTTTTGCTCTCCAATCTCCACATTTTCAAGCATATCAACCTCTGAGATATACAATATACCTCACCTCAGAATCTGAGTTCACAAATCCCGAAAAGATGAAGACTACAGGATATGCAAACAGATGGAGGGTGTATAAATAACAGGTCTTGACTATGTACCTTGATTTATGTCATCGCCAGAAAGTATGCTCTGATCTTTGAGTGTTAAGATAACTGAACCACCTTCAAGCACTTTGTCAAGCCCATGGAGAACCTTAGCTCCACCTAGCTCTTCTGCTAAAGGGTGTCCAAAAAAAGAGAACAGATAAAAGTAGATACTATTGACAGTTCAAGGTAAAAGTACCACATCAATTATCATTTATCAATTTACTTTCATTTATCATTTTATCCTCACAAAAACTAAACATTATTTCAAGTGGCTTGGGGTCGGCTACATGAACCAATAGGAGAAATAGAGAATCATGTTCAGTGACTAACCAAAATTCTTCCATTTTATCCTCCTATTGAATGTTAACATACAATAAATTATATATTCGACCAAATGGGGAAAATCAGGATAGAATGAGACATTTTTTAACACAGAGAGAAGGGAATGGGTGAGGGAGAGAGCAGTACCAGTAGAGTGTTGTGTTGCTATCTCACTATCATCATCTTCTTGACCAATCTCATCCTGAAACATTAATACACCAAATTTACAGTGCAACTATTCATTCTGATCCTGGTAACGGAATCTGTACTCATTTCTTTTTTCCTTTTTCTTTGGCTGGGTGGGGGCATTTCATAAGAAAGACAAAGTATTCAATAAATAAAGGAGAATGTCCGAAAACAGAATTATCTACCTGCTCTTCAAAAAATGATGAGATCTGCACCACTTTGGCCTTCTGAGCCTTCTTTTTCTCCTCAATTTTGCGGCTCTTATTGACCCAGTCTAAAACCTCAGAAGTACCTTCTGTTCTTTTCTTCAATCTTTCTTCCTTCATCCTGGCACACAACAGGGCACTAGTGAGAATTAAGGCTAATATTTACCAATACTTTAAAACAAATGTTTTTTACATCTAGTAAAAACGTACAAGATAATCAACAAAAAAGGCTAATTTTGTTAATCCAGGCAATATCAAACCCCACCTCCATCAAACCAGACAGAAATCAAATATTATGCAGCTAAAATCTTTTGAATAATAGTGAAGCCAAAAACTATTACATTTTTGAGCCTGTTCTTTAGGGCTGGAAAAAAGAGCTGGATGTTGAAAGAAACTAGAAAAAACTGGGAAAACTAGAAGGAACTGGAAGAAACTGGAAAATATTGCAAGAAACTGGAAGGAACTTCAAAAAGTTATTTAAATGTATTTTACATAACATTCTTGTTATAATTGTTATTGTTGTTGTTGTAGTTGTAGTTATTATTCACATTATTATTATAATTATTATTATTATTACTATTATTATTATTATTACTATTACTATTACTATTATTATAATTATAATTATTATTATTATTATTATAATTATTACTATTATCATTATAACTATCACATATAATAGGTAAAGAAAGTGAATAAAATTCGAACACGTGAATAGTATGCGTGCCATTTAATTAGGGACAGAGGGACTAGTATAATTATTATTTTTTAATTTAAAGTATTGAAGTTTTTCCCAGGTCAATTTAGATTAATAAAATATTCCTGATTTTTAGAAAATCATTCAGTGTCATGTAAATTTTAAAAAAATTCACTTTTCCCAATAAAGTTGTGCTCCGTATTATTGATATTAAAAGTGAAAGAAAAATAATAATGAGTGTGAATCAAAAAAAGTGACATAGGAAAAAATAAAAATTGAAAATAAACTATAGCTATTAACATAATAATAATAATAATAACAACAACAATAATAATAATAAAATTAGTAAAACTAAAAATAATAATAGTAATAATAATACATAAAAAACACATCATTTTAGAGTCATTATTTGGGAAGTAGAAAAAGATTGAAGAAAATGGGAATATTTGGAAAAAGTAGAAGAAACTAAATAAACTGGAAGAAACTGGAAAAAAATGGAAGGAACTAGAAAAAACTCGAAGAAAGTGGAAGAAACTGGAAGTTAAGAGTTTAAGTTTAAAAGAACACGCTCATAGAATGATATCCATATAATAGAATAGCAGCCTTGACACAGTGATAAAACTGCAGCCATGTTACCATGAGATCATGGGTCAAAGCCATGGCAAAATGTCTCTCATAGAAATATAGTGTAACATTATAAGATAAAGTTTCAAGAGGCACAAATCAGAGCTTATAGACACATTTTTCCTAAGTGACATGAGATTAGACAAGAAGGGACTAAGTTGGATAACAATGACTTGATTTTCCCAATGAAAGTCATGCCACTCATGCCCAGTGTCTAGCAGCCCGTGGGAATGATGGAATTGCACAATTATTTTTCTTAAAGTTTATTATAATAAAATTACTTATGAATTTTGTATAGCTAAACATAAATTTATACATAAAGTCAGAAACAAGGATTTTCATATTTGCTATAGTTCATTTCTTCCATAGAATGTAGCTCAACGACTTAGAGGACCACATTTGTCCCACCAAGACAGGATACAGAAGAATTGAGTCCTGCCCCTCCCGAGACCGGGATGTTTTGGACCATCCAAACCAGTGCAGTTTGATTTATCAAACAATACCAAATGGTCCAGCCCTTCCCTGGATTATACATACGCAGGAGAGTCTCCTCTTTCTAGAATAGAGATGATAGACATATAATGTGTCAAATACCCAAATGTACATTTAATTACATCTTTTAAGAAAAAGTAAACGTTGTTTTTAGAATGTTTTATATTAATGACATGCATCAATCAAATATAGACGAGTACATAGATGGCCCATGCAGAACCAAAAATGGTATTTAACTGTTAAGTACTTACTTCAAAATGCGCTCCTCCAGTTCTGAAACAGAAGGTTGAGATCCAGGTCCAACAGGTACGCCCTTCATGAGAGGCGTACCAACATCATCAGCTAGCGCCTTATCCTGTTCAGGAGAGTCCCCACCATCACCATCTTTACCATTGAATCTTGACATTTCATCCTTACCCACGTCCAAGTTCCTATTATGATCTTCATTTTGTAGTTTCCCACCACTTCCATCTGCGTCTCTTGACTTCTGCCTATCATGCTCCTTAACTCTATGTCTTCCCTTTTCTTTTTCACTTGTGTCTTTACTTCTCACCCTATCATATTCTCGTTCCCTTTCTCTTTGCTTCTCTCTATCCTTCTCCTTTTCTTTTTCTCTATCTTTTGTCCTTTCCCTGTACTTATCTTTGTCCCTGTCCGTATCCCTAGTTTTGTCTTTTCCTCTCTCCTTATGCCGACCACGTCCACCATCCCTCTCCAAATCCTTATCTCGCTCACTTTCCTTTTCATGATATCTACGGTCTTTCTCTCTTGCTCTATCTCTCTCTTTGTCTCTATGCCTATCCTTATCACTGTCTTTCTCTCGAACCCTGTCTTTTGTCTTTTCCTTTTCTAGAGCATCTCTATCTTCCTTCCTTCTATCTCGACTACGAGCCCTATCTTTCTGTGAATCCCTATCCTCTTTATCTCCATCTCTCATTTCACCACTCTTTTCAGGCCAAGAGTCTGCCATAACAATACTCAGCTAGCAAGCACAGATATGTGTGATACACCCTGTACCTAGCATATAATAGAGTAAAATGTCAACAGTTCATCAAAACATGAAAGCAGGACGGTAAAAGGCCTGAGATGAAGATTAATGATAAACCACGTAAAATTTGGCCATTTGGGGATGTGGAATCGTAACTTTACAATACGCAACCCCCAACAATGTCCCCATCCTGATTCTGGAGCAGCATACAGCAGGAAACTGCCAAACCCATTCAAATTAGACTTTTTTTATTTTTTTGGTACATTTTTAAGGCTTACGTCTCACCTCTTCGGAACAACCTGCTTCAATACCCGAACTACCCTTTTTAAACTTCGTCCCCTATGGCATGACTATGACATTTTGTGACTCAATTTGTAATCATAAATACTCCAAGTTCATAGAAGCCCTCACTAAATACAAAGTAGTTCATAATCAGGGTTTCAAATTTGAAATTCACAAATCATAAATTTTACATAATGTGCATTTATAATTCATAAATAAATGTTCATTTTATCAAATCTCTAATTTAGAGTTTTGAAGTTCATACTTTACTATTTAGAGTTTTTTAATTTCCATTCTAATGCTACTTCCCCATCTCCCAAAATATTTCCCAGCTAGAACGAATAGAAAGAAAAACACACAGAAAATTGAACGAAGGTGGTGAATAACTAGGAAAGCATGGATGATTTGTGTTTCTAATTTCGAAATAACGCTTGAAGCGGCCATATATTCGTTTCTATTAGAGGCTTAGGGCCATGAGGGTTTCGGCGGACAAATATATAATCAAAACCCACCAACCCTAATTTTTAGGGATTTGAGGTTCATACCAGGAGAAAGTTGAGGAGCTCCAGGCGTGCGCGGATGAGGGTATCCCGCCTCCGTTTCGTCAATTTGCCGGTCGCCGGTGGCCTTTTCTCGTGCGTGATTAGCGTGGCTAGTCTCCAGAGCCGAGGAAAACAAAGAAGAGTTCCCAGTATTTGCTTGGTACGGTTTCGTTATGCTAGTCAAAATTAACTTTACAAATGCTCCCTAGAATGGGAAAATAGTTAAAAAGAACGATAAAGCTATTTGTACCCCAAATTTTTGTACCACATTTGTACATCGCAGGTTTGCATCGACATTTTGTATTGGTGTAAAACTAATTTTTGTTAATGCACTAACACTTTGTGTCTGTGTAAATTTTTGTTAACGTACCAACACTTATGTCGGTGTAAACCATCAAAATGTTTGTGTATAAATGCGGTGTACAAATGGGGTACAATTTTTAGTGTAAGTCACCAAATGATTATATCCTTTACTATAATATTTGAAACTCGACTCACAATTTCGACATGTGATGGGTCTACTTGGCATTTTTTTAAAAAGTCATCTGTCACGTATTTATTATTTTAATGAGTTGTAATTTTAGTCAATATACTGGATACTGATTTGGCATTATTTTATTGTGAATATATATATATATATATATATATATATATATATATATATATATATAGTGACCAAATTAATTCTTCATCTGCCCTTGAAAGCTCGTTCTGTTTTTACTTTTTTGGTCATATAGTAACATTTTTTAACTCCAAATTGTGAGAAAAAATATAATTAATTATAATATAAATTGAATATAATCTTATACAGTTTTGATATATTAAAATTTTATAAAATCTATTTATTTAGATTATGATTAATTTATGTTCAAAGAGTGTCACCATTTGACCAAAAGAAGTCAAAACAGAAAGAGTTTTTCAAGACGAAGCCCAAAGGGAGTAGTTTTTTCGTTCATTTCACGCGGTTAATCATAAAAATTAGTAACTCTATTGTTTCTAACACTCCGATTTGTTTTCCAAATAATATGGTTGACCATTGTAATTTCTTAAAATATATTAGTAAAAAATTATTAAAAAATATTACATTAGACGTATTTTTTATTCAAATATTATGCTCTATATTTTTATATTTTTATTCATTATATATATATATATATATATATATATATATATATATATATATATATATATATATATATATTCAAAATTTGACAGCAAAGCAAACAGAGATAGTTAATGAATAACGTTTTTAGAATTATTCGAACAAACAAATTTTTATACTGTGTATACATATAAAGGGTAAAGAACACCTATTTTATGGATTTATTAATTTTATATTTAGGTTAGTGGTCTTATGCCAAAGAAAAAAGAAAAGGGTTTCGCTGCTACCTATTTTGAGAAAAATAGCAATCTTAGGACTTCTCATTGTATGAGCAGATTTAATCTTCTAATTTGACTTTTAGCGTTCTTCAATTTAATATTTTCATGATTAGTATCCATATGTATACTTATCATATCTTATGAAAAAATCATATTTCAAAAAAACTTTTTAAAAAATGTTGACATTACATTTATAGAGAAATAAAAATTATTTTTTAACATATCGAGGTCACTATGTGCAACACTTGACCAATAAAATCACATTAGAAGATTAAATCCAGGCGGAAGGAGTATTATGATAGAATTTCACTACTTAATAAAATTGTATGCAATTGAGTAAAAACTAAAATTCATATTTTTGATTTATAAAAAAAAATCAAAATTAACTTCGATCTATAGAATTTAATTATATTAAGAATGTGATATAATTATTATCCTTAAAATACAAATTACTTATGGTTATATATATATATATATATAATGGGAAATAATACGTGGCCCGGTCCACATTTTCTAATTATTAAGGAATAACATTCAAACGGGGCATGTTTAATAAAATTAAGGAATAATAGAATATTCCTTCGAAGATGCTTCCCCTCCCTCCTATAAAAGAGAGGGTTTGCCCTCAAAATGGGGGGAGCCAATTCGTTCCCTCTCCCTTCCCAACTCTCTCTCTAGATTATTTTGTAGTATATTTTTTCTTTCTTCAAGAGCTTAAATGCTCTATTAATGGCTTCTTAGCCTAAATCATGTACCGTGTACACATCCCCGATATTAATAAAAATCCTTCGTTTGCAAGGTACCGCCAAAAACGTCCCGTGGTTTTCTCCCGATTGGGTTTCCACGTCAAAATCTCATTGTTTATATTTTGGTGTATTTTTTAGACTAGTTTATTGTTTTTGCCCCGCTAAAAACGATATACTGGTCGATAATTTACACCATCATTTTTGCACCGACCTGGGCGAAAGGCCATATTTTTTAGTTCCTTCATGTGGTTTATCCCCAAAAAAAAACCCAAATTGGAGGCATGTTTTTGGAGATGGGTGACGCAAATAAAAAAGGAGAGAACCCCTCAAGTGCCCAATCTAAGTTTTCCTCCACCAAAAGTCCACAATAGATCTGCCGATCCCTAGAACAAATCTGTTGGTTCCGATGTGTCTCGTTGCCAACCGCGATGTGGATTGTTGCTAGCTGCCGCCATTTCATGGTTGACCGTGCATAGTGGTTTGCTGAAACGATGTTCTTGAGCGAGAGAAGATGGTTCTAACTCGGGTGGCGCCGTAAGGTGCTGCCTTTGCCCATCCCCCCCTCTGAATCATTCCAATCTGCCGCCTCCATTACCGCCAAAGGTTTACCGTCATCATTGTGGTCTTTGCTAGAATTACCGCCAAGGATGCTGAATTCACCAATGTTGCGACTGCTGCTGCTCAAAAATATTGCAGTAGAGATCTACCGTCAGTGCAGGGATTTCACCCGACCATGTTTCTGAAATCCACCAACCGCTGAAGCGAATCACCGACGGTGTTGATGTTGGAGCTAGTCACTATTACCTAAATCGACGACCTTGCTGATAGAGACCCCTGCGGTTCATCTCCTTTGGCCAACACATGGATTCCAAAACAAGAAGGAAAGAGAAGATTATCATCTCAAATCAAGCACGTGAAATTGTGGAAGACTTCAAACAGATGGGTAGGGATGTAAACAAATCAAATATTTTAAATTCGATTCGTGATTCGTACTCGAATATGATGATTCGATTTCGCGTTATTCAAATACAAATTCAAATTCAAATATTAGTTTTGATTCAAATATTAAATAAATACGAATACAAATAGAGGTGTATTCGGGTCGGGGCCGGGGTGGGGGGTTTACCGGGGGGTTAGGGGGGTAGGAACCGTCAATTTTACGAACGGGGCACCGGAGCGGCACCGGGTCATCCTATGACATTAAGGTTCAATGTCATTTGAACCTTGGTGATGTGTTATATGATAAAGAAGCATATTTTTTTTCTATTTATAACTTTTTTCTACTTTTAATATATTGCATTTTAACATGAATGCATTAAGCATCTACGTACCTTTTGTATGTTTTCTCCATAAATAATTAATTTGATATAATAAAATAAATTAATTTTAAAAAATACAAGCTAATATAAATATTATTTAATAAATTAGAAACCAAAATAACATTACCCTTTAATTAAATTATAATTTTGAAATAAAAAAATAAAAATCCAAAAAAGAACAACAACAAAAATATAATCATACAATTATGGTTAGCGAGTAAAAATTAGAGATCTATTAGCATGCACTCTTGAAGTTGTTAAAACACTACCTCTTTTATTTTTTTCTTTTCCCAAAAAATTTTTCACTTTCTATTAAAAACCACTTTTACCCATACTTCTTCTTATCATACCTATCACATCTACTTTTTTCTAATAATCGACTCATTACATTTTAGTTTTACCTATCACATCAAGGATATAGTTAAAAAGTTAACTAAAGATATACATTCATTAGCTTGGCTAAAAGTCAAAATAGAAATGATTTATTAAAACATAGGGAGTATAAGATAGAAAAGTAAAGACAATAACACACCCGGAGTAAATAATATACTAAAATAAAATACATATTTGATGACATTTAACATAAAAAATGTAATATTTCTTGAATAATTTTCTAAGAATTTCATTTTCTATTTATTTTAGAAAACTAAAATTAATGTTCTTTTTTAATAAAAGTAATGTTTAAAATATTTCTGTAACACCCTAATCCGTCCAGGTCTGCAACCCCTTTCAAACAAAAGTATTAACTTGATAATCGTAAAATTTAAAACTTTTTCAAACACTATTATTTATCACAATAATAATTTTTATAACATAAACAGTACGGAGTATTCAACAATATTGCGGAAGCGAATTTAAATGTTGTCATATCACAATAAATTAATTTGAGACTTGTTACATTCATCCTGACCATCTCGCCCCATCTGCCGCCAGGATCATATCACATCATTCCTTCTATTAACCTACGTGTAGTAAATAGAACACATTACACGCTCAGCAGTAAAGCTGAGTAAGCATATCTAATGCGTCGAACATCCATATAAATTTAATCTCAATTCATAATCAACCATTTGATATCATGCATACAATAAATGATTCAAGCATTCAACATTCATGTTATTCACAATATTTAATTTCAAGTCATTTCATGTTATTTACAATATTCAATATTCAATATTTCAACAAAGCTCTGAAATTACTCTTAATCTAAGACCAAATCATTTTTATACCAGCTCTTAGCTATTCCTAGTCTAAGGCAATATTTCTAACCAGACTCTTAAACTATAAATAGTTTAAGGTAGAACACAAGAATCGATAATCCACCCTACGAGTCATGTGGATTATGTACCAATCAAACAGTAAACTGTCGGGCGGGTGATATCCGATCAGGATCCCGTACGTACGTTTTAACCCTGAATTATGAACTGGTCAAGGAGGTATATCTTAGAGTTCTTCTAGATATCCTTAATAATCATCATCAATTTCTAAATGAGTATATCTTAGAGTTATTCTAGATATCCTTAACAATATACATCATCCTCGTGATTACTAATATATCCATTTTTAATCATGATTTAATCAAAAATAATCATTTTAATCAGTAGGTTCATCATTCATAATCATCCATAATAATCATTCATAATCATCCATAATAATCATTCATCATAATCATCAATCAACATAACATATAATAGCAAATAGCGACCTAGTTTCGAGTCTTAACACTCCGAACTTACCGTCATGCATCGCATAAGGTTTTTATTTTCCAAAAACATCATTTTTATTATGAAAAATCATCTTTATATTGTTCATGATTAATTGGTATCAAAAATAGGATTTTAGAGCTCAAAAATAGGATTTTAGAGCTCAAAAATAACATTTTCAAAGTATTTTCGGAGCAAACAGGTCGGGGGATCGATCGAGCACTTTGGATCGATCCACCGTAGAAGAACTCCTTCGTGTGATCGATCCACCCTCTGGGTTTTCGATCGGCCACTATTCACCGTCTTCTTCATTTCGGGTCCAATTTCAAAAACACCATTATTAGTTCCCAAACTTTAATTAAACTATATAGAAATGTTTCCCAAGGTTCATAGATCATTTCGGTATCATTAATTCATAGTTTTAACAACAATTTAATGGTTTATGATTCTTGATTTTTCAAGTATGTCAAACACAAAATTTAACCAAACATCCGTTTTTGAACATTCTAGTCACTAGATATATCTACGGGCTTACCTCGAAGCTTATCGAAGGTTTTGTAAATTCTCCGGCGAAACTTCCGGCAACGATTACTCCCAACTCCGGCGACCTCTCACCAAAGTGACAGTACCACGCACTGCGTTCTCCACACTCATATCTAACTTTCAAGACTTATTTGGAGTAAAATGGTGAAGAAATGGGAAGGTTGTGTTCCCTTATATAGAAGAAGAGAAGGGGAAGAAGACATGGGATGACATCCGTTCTCCTGTTTTGGCGTCTCGGTGGAGGGGGCTGCGGTTCCTACGGATTTTAAACGCAAGTTTCTGATTGGGACTAATTTTGGTCCCAGTTGGGGTACACTTCTTGGTCCAACTTTCTCCAAATTGAAATCCGTTTGCACCGTTGCGATCGGACAGTTAATCTCTATCCAATGATATAATTTTTATATTTATTTGTAATACTTTTTCTGACATCATATTTTTGGGTGTTTGACTTTGACAGAGTCAAAATATATTTAATTGACCTTTACTCAAAAAGGTTCTTACATTCTATTCATATTATTTATTCTCATGATTTATTTTAATAAATCATTTCAAAGTTTACATCATAAACAATTTCTTCATTTATCCTTGATTTGGGTCTGTACTCAAGTTCCCAACCAAGATTACACAATAAGTCAACATATTAGATTTATCTCTATGAGACTTATCCAGATTGTGATATTGGATATTAAAATATATTTTATTTTGGCCCAAAGCCGAACAATAATTATTTTTAATCAAAACAAATTTAATTAATTGAATAATAATTCAATAAATTTTAGGGTATGTTTTAGGGCGTTACAGTTTCCATCAAAGTCATCTAATTTAAAATAATGTTTCATTATTAAGATTTTCCTTTCGTAGTATAAAGAGAAGCAAATAGTGATTAAACAATATGATACACATTATTTTTTCTGATTAAATAAAATTACGGAGTATCATTTAAATAAGATAATAAAAATAGTTTAACTAATTTATTAAATAGAAAAAGTATCTGTAATAAAAATATTAAAAATACAAATATGGACAAAAAGAGTGTGTGTGTTTGAGGATACTTTTATTATAAATTTAGATGAAAAATGTTTTTGTTTATTCGTTGTATATGCATTTACAAGTAAAAAAATAGCTAATTTCATAATATTTTAGTAATAATAACAATTGTAATAATAATAATTATAATAATAAAAATGATGATGATGATGATGATGATGATGATGATGATAATAATAATAATAATAATAATATAGAGGGGTTCTACATCACCCACTCGAGTGGCTCTAGATGACATTTGATTCAATTGAAGTATCTACGGTGCTCCATTAATAATAATATAAATGTATTTTTTAAAATAAATGTACTACCTCTGTCCAGATTATTCTTTTTACAATTAAAATTAATACACTATGACTATTAATTAAGTAAAATTTATACTAGAGATTGGTACAATAATAATTTTATAAAATTTATGTTATAAAATATTTTCAAAAATATTTTTTTAATTTTATTAACCTACCATATAATCCTTTATATATAATATTTGAGAGTTGAACTCTCAGAATTGCGACATTTGGCGTGATGACTGGAATGTTTTTGACACCTAATCAGCCATGTCATCAAGAGAATTGAATCGAACTTTCCTTCGACTAATTTATGATATAATAAAAGAAATTATGTAACTTAATAAAATTAGTGAAACATAAATATAATATTGCATAAAATAAAAATTATTAATGGAAAAAAGAAAAGTTTCTTTTTTAACTAACAAAATTTTCAGTAAAATTTTTACCATAATATATTGCTCGGACTCCAATTAAGCTTAAAAATTAGTCAATTGAATAAAAACGATATTAAATCATTTTTATAGAAATTAAAAATAAATCAAAACAAACTAAAACAAATTAAAAATGAGAACTTTTAACATGTAGTAATAAAATTTTGATCTAATTATTATTATAATAACTTTATTTAATATAAAAATACTCCGTAACGAATAAAGTTTCACATATTTCTTCAAAAATTATATTGACTAATGAACTTAAAACGAATAAAATTTTCTTTTCATTTACAACTTAACTTATAATGGTAGATAAGATACACACTTCACCTATATATTAATTTCACATACATTTAATATAATATTTAAAAACTAGATCAAAATATTCTTTAGAAAGAAGAAAAAGTTGAACATAAATAGATGATTAGATAATTTAAAATATATTTTTTCAGTATAAATTTTAACTCAGTGCAGATTTAAAAAAGTAAATTTTTTTTAGGAAAAATGTGCAATTTTAATAATGATTAGTTTATATTTAATATTATTCTCATACAAATAGAATATGTTTAAATTAGCCAAATATATAAATATAATGGACATAAAAAAATTAGGAAAAATATGCAATTTTTTTATCTTTTCCTAAATGTATAAAAATGAGACTGGGGTAATTAAGAACTGACATGTAGCTTACTCATGAGCCTCTTTTTAACACCTATTATGTCACATAGATTTTTATGTGGAAAATATGAAATTAAAAGTTTGGTAAATATTTCTGAATGTTTACATATTAAATTTGAGAGTTAATCTCCTAGAATTGCGAGAAGTGACAAATCTACATGACAATATTTTAACAGATCACCAGCCACCTATTAACGATTGAATGACGTGGGAATTTTAATCAAAATATGAGTAGATCCAATTTAAGTTGTATACAGAGTATATGTCTTATGTACAGTGTTGCTATAATTTTTTGGAAAAAATTACTCTGTACCAGAATAAGAAAAAACATGGAGAAAATATTGTAATAAAAATACATTTTTTTCTCCAAAATAGGAGTCACCAAATATTAAGAGATTTCTTAGTTTCAAAAAGAAGATATTTGTAATGTATTTCTACCGAAAGACAAAGTTTAGTCTGTATATTGGTGTTTAAGTATACAAAATTGACAAGAAAAGTCAATTGAGAAGATCAAATCCAAACACAAAGGGAGTATTGTTAAAGGAATTAGAACAAAACATGAAGTTTTATGCAATTGAGTGAGAACTAAAAATTTTTTTAAAAAAAAATTAAAAAATCAACTTCTAAAATAATTAAAATAATAGTATAAATTTTTAAAATCTATTTCTAAAATAATAGTTACATTTTTCACTTAAAATTTTAAAAAATTATCACATAAAAATAATCACATATATTTTACATACCAAAATTTTTTCACTTGATATGAATTTAGTTTCAAAGAGCAAAACAAATATAGTTACAAGGATTTTCACAAAGAAAAATTACAAAAACATTTAAAAATAATCATATGTATTTCACTTTTGACTTCATTGAAGTCACAACAAGCACTTTTTAAAAAAACACAAAAAAATATTTGCATGGGATACATATAACAAAACAATATTTGCAAAAAAAGGGAATCACATATTTTTCATTTGAAATTTGAAATTTACTAGCTTAAACATGAGTGGCTAATAGAAGGACATAACACATTAAGATGCCCCTAAATGTACAATTGAGATAAAATTATACGGAGTAATTATTATAACGGAGACCTAAATTAGCAAAAGGCCAATCCAAAAGAGTCATTTTGAAAAATTACTCTTCATTTAAATGTTGAAAATACCTAAATTTTCTCCATTGAACATTCATTTAAGAAACATATAAGGAAGACACTGAGTGAATAAATCTCAACTATAAAGTAGTCCATAGATAATTAATACTTAAAAACACTTATTTGGAAAATATATTATTCGAAGAGACTATTTCGAGATTACACAAAGAAATTTATAATTTATAATTAGGTGACTAAAAGACTTAAGACTATATTTTTTAAGGAATAATTATACGTGTCATGATTATGTACTTTATTTTTAGACAAATGGATAATATGTCTACTATGAGATTGACTCAATGCATATCTTACATAAAAGTTTTGTTTATGGCAAGATGACTAATTTGATATGAAATAAAAGTATTTTTCATGCAATTTGACTATTTTAAAATATTGAATTTTTAAAATAAACAAATTAAAAAAAGATTTAATAGGACTTTTAAATTTATCTCGGTAACTTGGTTTACTATTTTTAATTAAAATAATCTTATATTATTATTGTATTAAAATTCAAAATGTTTATAAATAAAATTAAGAAATTTTGAATGAGAGAGAACGCACTTCCTACGTTTTCATTTACGCAACCGTACATGGAAACTTCATAAGATGATATTTTATGAGACGACACTGATTCATGCAAAGAAGATTGTGACAAAGAAGATCAAGGTGTGGAGGGGAGCGTGAGAAGATTTGTGACAATGAAGATTTAGGATAATCAAAAAATCAGGAAAAATTGTGCAAAAAATCCAAAGTGTAGTAGCTAATAAGTTCGAGACTTAGTTATAGGTTACAACCACATCAAAGAAAATACAATTTCTCATTTGTAACTATTTGTATTTTGATAGAACATTTTATATCTTGACCAGAATACTATCCCGACAAAATTATTAGAGCACTAAGATTTTAATGTTTTTTAAAATAAATGTGGGGGAGAAGAATAATTGATTCTTAATATTTAAAATTAAATTTTTAATCATAGAGATTTACGATCACTAATTTAAGATTTTGTTTTTTAATAATGCAAGAATGAAAAATAACTTTTTATAATCATTGTGGGGGTGGGGGGGTAGATAAGGGTTATGGATGAGAAGAATCTTATTTTTTAATTACTACCTTCGTCCGTTAGTATTTGTCCAGTTTTGACTTTTCCGACTAATTGTTTTCAATATTTGACTTAGAATTAAATAAAATATATATTATATATTAAGTATATAAAAAATATTTTGAAAATGGATGATATAATAAATCTAATAAAACTAATTTTGCATCAATATCTAATATCGTTTTTATTTAATTTGAGGTCAAAATTTACCAATTCTAACAAAAAAAAGTCAAAAGTTGACAAATACTCAAGGAGAGAGGAAGTATATAATTATAAGGTCGGTAATTTAGGTTTTTAAAATTGATGTGAGGAAAAAAATCATTGGATCACTAATACTTTTGTATTAATATATTTTCGAATTTATACTGCGATAAAAATTATAAATTTGTAAAAATACATTAAACATAGATCATTTATATTTAACCTTTAAATAATATGTCAAATTTAAATTAAGATCCACATTATAGAATCGAAAAAAATTCCATCTGAACCCGTGCATGGCACGGATAGAATACTAGTTTTTACTCCGTATTTAGTTATAAATTAAAATTGAGCGAGTAATTGACAAGTGGCGACGTCTTAGAAAGTTAGAAGTCGGCCATAATGACAACTTCAATGGACAGCAGCCGTCATGTCGGCAGTGGTTCAATACGACGACGCTATCTTACTTGCGTCTTCGTCTCACTCTCTGACGGAGGATGAAACAAATTAAACACGTTTCCCTTTCGTCAACTCCCAGTCAGACATGGCGGCCGCCTCTCTTTCCCGGCCGAACTTCACCGTCCTCTCACCTCTTCTTCTCCTCCTCCTCCTCTTCTCCTCCGCCGATGGCGCCGCTCCCGGCGAGCTTGACTCCCTCCTGTCCCTCAAGTCCGCCCTCCGGACCCCTGGCACCGGCGTGTTCGACAACTGGGTCGCCGGCAACTCGCCCTGCAACTTCACCGGCATCACGTGCAATTCCGCCGGCTCCGTCGCGGAAATCGACCTCTCCCGCCAAAACCTCCGCGGGTCTCTCTCCCTTGACCCTCTCTGCTCGCTCGGCTCGCTGGAGAAGCTCTCGCTCGCCCAAAACTCGCTCTCCGGCGAAGTCACCGGCGACTTGAATAAGTGCGTCGGGTTGAAATTCTTAGACTTAGGGAACAATTCCTTCTCTGGGTCGATGCCGGAGATTCACTCTCTCAGTCAGATGACCCATCTGTACATGAATCGCAGTGGGTTTTCTGGGATTATCCCGTGGAAATCTCTGGAAAACATGACCAATTTGGAGGTTCTTAGCCTCGGCGACAATCCGTTTAACAGAGCGCCGGTGCCGGAATCGATCGGGAGACTTTCAAGACTGAAAGTGCTCTACTTATCCAATTGTAGTCTGGAAGGAGAAATCCCAGAAGGGATTGGAAATCTCACGGAGCTGATAAACTTGGAGCTATCCGTGAATTACCTCTCCGGCGAAATTCCTCAGGGGATTTCGAACCTCACTAAGCTGCGCGAGCTCGAGCTCTACTCCAACGGCCTCACCGGAAAGTTGCCCAAAGGCTTCGGAGATCTATCCGGCCTCGAACTCCTGGACGCATCCACCAACCATCTTTCCGGGGATATATCTGAAATCAGGCGCCTGGAAAAGCTGGCGAGTCTGCAGCTTTTTGATAACCAATTTTCCGGCGAAGTCCCGGCGGAGTTTGGGGAGTTCAAGAATCTGATCAATTTGTCGCTTTACGCCAACGGATTCACAGGACAGCTTCCGCCCAAGCTTGGGTCTTGGTCAGAATTCAATTTCATCGACGTGTCGGAGAATTTCTTCTCCGGGCCAATCCCGCCGGAGATGTGCAAACAGGGGAAGATGGTGAAGCTCTTGGTTCTCCAGAACAACCTCACCGGAGAAATCCCAGAAACCTACGGCAGTTGCACGACCCTCAAACGTTTCCGGGTGAGCAAGAACTCACTCTCTGGTCTAATTCCCACCAGAATTTGGGGTCTGCCGAATCTGGAAATCCTCGACATAGGTGACAATGGATTGGAAGGCCCTTTAACTTCCGAAATCGGAAACGCGAAGAATCTGGGACAGTTGTTTCTTGCCAATAACAAACTCACCGGCGATTTGCCACCGGAAATTGCAGGTGCGTCTGCATTAGTGGCAATTCAATTAACCAATAATCAGTTCTCCGGCGAAATCCCGGGAGCCATAGGAGATCTCAAACAGCTGGATACTCTTCAATTATCAAACAACGAATTCTCCGGTTCAGTCCCAGACTCAATAGGTTCTTGTCCGTCCCTCAGTGACATAAACATAGCCCACAATTCTCTTACAGGGAATATTCCGGCGACCCTGGGGTCACTACCCACCCTGACATCCCTGAATCTGTCCGGAAACAGAATCTCCGGCCGAATTCCGGACACTTTGTCATCCTTAAACCTCAATCTCCTAGATTTGTCCAACAATCAACTCACCGGCCCCATTCCGGAGTCTCTTTCTGTTGAGGCCAATAATCGCAGCTTCGCCGGAAACGATGGCCTTTGTAGCCAGAACAACATCAAATATCTCCGGCGATGCCCGAAAGAATTCACCGAATCCCATGATCTTCGCACTCTTGTGCTCTGTCTGGTGGCCATTACAATGGCCATGATATTTATTTCCTTGTCTTGTTTATTCTACTTTAAGGGCAGATGCACAAAGAAGGATGCCAATGAGCACTCCTGGAAGGAGGACTCGTGGGACGTAAAATCCTTCCGTTTCTTGAGCTTCACCGAGGACGAAATCCTAGACGCTGTCAGACAAGAGAATTTGATCGGAAAAGGTGGGTCCGGGAGCGTGTACAAAGTAGTATTGAAAAATGGTAAAAAATTGGCCGCGAAACACATATGGAACTGGGACGAAACCGGGAGGCGAGTGTTGGGTGGGCCCACGGCTCCCATTCTGGGAAAGCGCGGGACGAAGTCGAAGGAATTCGAGGCAGAGGTCCAAACTCTTAGCTCAGTGAGGCATGTGAATGTGGTGAAGCTTTACTGCAGCATTACAAGTGAGGACTCAAGCCTGTTGGTTTATGAGTACATGCCGAATGGGAGTTTGTGGAACCGGTTGCACAATCGCCAAAAGGGCGAGTTTGGTTGGGACATGAGGTACGAGGTTGCGATCGGAGCAGCCAGGGGATTGGAGTACCTCCACCACGGATGTGACCGTCCCGTGGTCCATCGCGATGTCAAGTCTAGTAACATTTTGTTGGACGAGGATTTCAAGCCGAGGATTGCCGACTTCGGTCTTGCCAAGATTGTTCAACCCCATTCTTGCAAAGATTCAACTCACGTCATTGCTGGCACTTATGGGTACATTGCCCCTGGTAAGACAATGTTTTTTTGCCATAATTGCCCCTGGTAAGACAATTTTTTTTTTTGCCATACCACCACAAGTTTGACTTTTTTTTATTTAGTTGGTAATTCCTTGACATCCCAAACCTCATTGCGGTTTTTTTATACACAAATGGTGTGATCATCACAAGACCCTAATTATTTTTGACCATTTCGTTATCTTGTATTTTACCTATACAAAACCAAAGATTTGGGAAATGGTGCAAGAACAACAAAACCCCAATTTTTTCAAATTTGTAGAAAATATAGCAAGTTTTGCTGGATTAGTAGGAAAAGAACTACTATGCCATTTAAAAAAGAAGAGAAAAACCAGAAGTAGCACTGTTTGTCTCAATGGTGCACAAGTTTGAGCGATTGGTTGAGTTTGTTTTTTATTGCACTGACTTTTGTTGCATGCACATGGTAGAATATGGATATACCCACAAAGTGAACGAGAAGAGCGACGTATACAGCTTTGGAGTAGTGCTGATGGAGCTTGTATCAGGGAAAAGGGCGATAGAACCAGTGTATGGAGACAACAACGACATTGTGAGTTGGGTGAGCAACAAACTGAAGAACAAAGAAAGCATGGAAAGCGTAGTTGATTCATGCATCGGAGACCCCCACCGAGGAGATGCAGTCGAAGTGTTAAAGATAGCCATTATGTGCACGGCTAGGCTGCCGAGTCTAAGGCCAAGTATGAGGAACGTAGTTAAAATGCTAGAAGGCGCAACGCCTTGCCGGGTTTTAGGGATTGCGGTTGGGAAAGATGGTGGGAACAAGTTGGAGTTGCCTTAAAATTATTTATGGAGACTAGTTGATTATGGGTGTCTTTGTGACCTTAAATTTTGAATTTTGTGACATAGTAGCCTTAAAAGTGTAACGTTTTGGTGGAGTGTTGTTGTTGTGAAGTCATGTATTGGCCATTGACACGAATTAAGTAGGCAAAATATGTATGGGAAGTAGTAATCCTGGATGGGAGAGTATCACATTTTGGCTCTGTACAATAGTAAATAAAATTACATCTTTTTTGTAATGTTATCTTTTAGGTGTTAGTAGTTTTTATATGCATTGACACTTTGTGACGTTGTAAAGCAATACACTACCATCACACTTGCACAAAATATTGGTGCATGTCTTCGGGGTATAAAGTGGGTACAATTTTTGGTGTACAGATATCATTTCCCTTCTTATATTCATATGTTTGACTTAAATTGAAAAAAAAATATGTCTTATAATACTGAGCATGCAACTATGCATCTTACTCCGTGGAGTAAATGTGCCCGGACAAATTTTGTATTCCCTCTATTCACCAAAACCCTTCCTCTTTTATATTTTTCTCTCTCGCTAAAATACTTTCACTTTTTATTAAAAACCAATTTTACCCTTAATTTTTCTTATCCCTATCACATCATACGTTTTCAATAATAATCTACTTATTGTATTTTATTTTAACTCATTACATCAAAGGTAAAATTGGACAGTCACCTATAAATATACACTTATTATTTCTCTCATTAGTCAAAATATGAACCTTTTTGGTGAACTAAGGGAGTACAAAGTAATTGCTTCCTCACTAGTGGGAAAATTACACGATGTAATTTATGCATTTCATTTCTATAACCAATTTATAAATTAAATCATTTTTAAAAAGATGGAATTTTACACTTTTTTAAAATGGGGAGAATAATTAGACACATAGGAAGCACATTAAATACTCCATTAGAATAAAAACTTCAAAATTATACTTGTATTATTTTTTCTACTCATATTATAAAATTATATCCTTTATATATATAAAGCAGACTCCTTTATATATATATATATATATATATATATATATATATATATATATATATATATATAATGAATGAAGACCAGATGAAGATATACGACGATGAACTCTTTATGTTTTGCTATGACTATTAACTAAGTTGAAGTTCACTCATAGTCAACTTTATATTATTGTTCACGAGTAAAAACAAAGACAGGGTTAAAAATGTTAGTTCTAAATGATAATGAAATCTTGCAACCACACCAAAAATATTATATTCTCTGAATGCTTTAAAAAGTATGAATTTAAAAAAGATTTTAAGATGTTTGCTTTTGAATTTATATATGAGCATTTTCATTTCCAAATACTAAATGCTAAATTATTTATTTTACTTTGATTTTAATGTGTAAAGAATGCATCACATATACTTTCATAAACTTATTTAAAAATATTACATTGAAGATAATTGCAAGAATCAATTAAAATTTCATTCAATCCCGTGCATGGAAAATTCTATTTTGATAATAGAAACATGTCACTTATACTTTTGAAGGTAAGTAGAGTTATGTTTTACTCATCTTTTAGGTTATTTATTTTTTAAAAAAACTGTAATAGAATTATATAAAACAAGAGATGGCGAAACTATAAAAATGTTAAAGTAAAACAAAGTTCCAGATATAATTTGATAGTTTGAGCATATGGATTTTATGATTTGATTCAATTACTCGATAATTTATGCTTTATAGTTCTTAGATGATTTCTAATTTATGATTTATCTTGAAATGAAATTATTTTTAAATATTTATTACGCAGTATGATACTTTTAATTATGTATCACTCTCACTTATAATGTTTACATGAGCATTCTTTACAATTTCACCATCATTGAGTAAATTTAATTAAAGAATACATATATATGTTTTTTAGAATATTCATTATTAATTTTATATTTTTTCATTTCATTTATAATAATACTTTCAATGAATAGATAAGATACACTCTTCACCTCTAAATAAGTTTTATAGTTGTTTATGATATGCAAAAATGAAGATAGTTTTATTCTATTTATTTAAATATTGATATAAAATTAAAAATTTATAATATATTTTAATTTGTACATTAAAAATCAATAAAAGAATAGACGACTCAATTATTTTAATCTTTTTTTGCTAATCTAAATTAATGTTGGGGGATTATGTTTTTCGTATTCATAGAATAATCATATATCATATAAATAAATTTAATTTTGTACTGTATATAAATAAATTTTTCTAATTATTTTTTGCAGGACTTATAACCTCACGAGAAGACCTAAAGAATTTATGTCTAATTGAGATTGAAAAGTTGCTTAATTGAAATATACAGTCTTTAAAGGAATTCGGTGGCATGCCATTTTCTAAAGAAAATCCACTTAATAGATATCAAAATAATTTTTTGGAAGATGAGTTGAACTATGACAAAGAAAAGTTATCATCTGATCTTAAGGGATATTTATCTATAATGAATAAAGATCAGATGAATATATCTAATGAAACTGGAAGTCATGACAACTGAAAGATGAAGTTTCTTTTTTGTGAATGGTTAAGATGGAACTCAAAAAATATTTCTCTACAAATCACTGTCTGCCTCTTTAACGTCAGATGGTAAGGTTGTCTTGAATGTTGCATTCAGCTGCATTGTAGCATTACTTTTGCCAAGGGGAAGGGTCGTACACTTAAGATTCTTAATCTTTTTGTTGTTAAACTAGTGCTCATCGTGTGCCATCAAACAAGGATTAATTCAACAAGTAAGTATAATCATAAGGGAGTAGTCATCTACGATGAGTAAATTTGCTTTTGAGGCATTGTATTGCACAATGAGAGATGTAATGAGGCTCACTAACAATAAATGAACCATTCAGAGGGAAAACAATTATACTAGGAGGTGATTTTATCCATATTCTTTCAGTTTTACTCAAAGCTTTAAGAGATGAAATTGTAGGCGCTACTGTCAATTCATAAAATATATGGTTGTATTGTAAAGTTATGCATTGACCAAAAACATAAGATTGCATTCATCTACACCATCTTGCATAAATAGGACACACAAGCTTTTTTGATTGGATAATCATAGTCGAAGATGGAAAGCTTGGACAAGTGATGGAATTATTAACATTGAAATTCCGTCTGAATTCTTGACTCTTGACACAAGTACCTCCTCAAGAGTATAGTGAATTTCATTTATCCAAATCTATTAGAGAACATGAAAAATTAATCTTTTTTTGGGATAGTGCATTATTGGGATCCACGCTTAAGGTGATTTTATCTATATTTGTTGAATGGTAATTGAAGTTGTCTAATCCCTTATTCTACGAGGTGATAAAAGGTACTTAAGTTCACATTCTTCATGACAAGCATATTCAGATGTAGGTGTTGAAGGCGATTACATTATGTAGTAGTTTTTTAATGAAATCAAATGTTCATGGATCCAAAACCATAAAATAATTTTAACAAGGGGGTACGAATTATGTTGTTGAAGAACATTGACCAAATATCTGGATTGTATAATGGTACAAGATTAATTATTGAAGAGCTGCAAAAGAACATTATTAGTGTAATTGTGGTTGCAATTATGGTTTCGAGAAATCGAGTTCGGAAAAAGGTTTACATATCCTAAATTAATTTGGTACCATCTGGTTAGGGACTACCCCTGAAATTCGAGAGAAGATAATTTTCAATAGTCTTATGTTTTGCTATGACTATTAACAAAATTCAAAGTCAAATATTGTCTATTGTTGTACTCTGGATGTTATTTTTAACTAATTTGGTATTTACTCATGGTCAGCTTTATGTAACTGTTTCACGAGTGAAGGCAAATACACGATTAAAAATATTGGTTCCAGATCACAATGAAACTCTTACAACCATACCAAAAATGTTATGTACCCTAAAATCTTTTAGAAAAAACTGTGATTAAAACAACTTTCTCGAGTATACTTTTAACTCCTCAAATATTATATATTCTATTTTGGCATTGTTGTCTATTGATTAAAAATCGTGTTAAATTTTTTTTACTTGATTCCAGAAAATATATTGCATTGAAAAAGTTTCAGAATGGATAAAAATTTCATTTGACCCCGTGCAACGCACGGGTCAAAATACTTGTAGAAAAAATACGTGGAAGCTTTTTTGCATAGTGGCACAGAAGTGATCCCAAACTTCTTCACATTCAGTTTTCGAGTCTCACCCCTACTACATTGATGGATATGAGAGCTATTAAAAATTAAAAAATACATTAAAAAAAATCTGTTAGAAATAAAGATAATACGAATATCGTTATGAACAAATGATAGAGATATACCTTGATAGCGCAAATCAAAGATCAAAGTGCAATGGAAAATCAAAGGAGAAGAAATGCAATGAGATCAATAGACTAAGGAGAAGGATGTTCCATTTCAACATATGGAGCCTCTATATATAGGCTTACAAATGGGAAAAGCAAAGGTCTAACTTAGACATGGAGAACATCAAAAGACATTTGTACATAACACTCCCCCTTGGATTTCGGATGTTCACCATTTAGGTAGACTTGAGCTTAAGACACTGCCTCGTTAAAACCTTGCCAAGAAAAACCCAATGGGACAAAAACTTGGACGAAGGAAAAAGAGTACAGTGCTTATAATGCTCCCCCTGGACATGGCAAAAGATCCTTGAGTTGACGCATTCCAATACCATTGATCATCCTCCTAAATGTCGTGGTTGACAATGCCTTTGTGAACAAATCCGCAAGGTTATTGCATGACTGTATCTGACGAACCTCAATGTCTCCACTTTTCTGAAGCTTGTGCGGATAGAAGAACTTTGGTGATATGTGCTTTGTCTTGTCGCTTTTGATGTAGCCACTTTTAATTTGTGCAATACAAGCAGTATTATCTTCATAGAGTAATGATGGAGCCTTATTCAAAGATAATCTAGAAGTTTCTCGAATGTGATGAACCATTAACCTTAACCATATGCATTCTCGACTTGCTTCATATAGCGCCATTATTTCCGAGTGGTTTGATGAGGTTGCAACTAGTGTTTGCTTTACTGATCTCCATGATATTGCAGCACCACCACAAGTACAAACATATCCACTTTGTGATTTACCCTTATGTGGGTCAGAAAGATAGCCAGCATCAGCGTAACCAACAACTTGTGATTCCGAACCTTTTGAATAAAATAGGCCCATATCGGTTGTTTCACGAAGATAACGTAAGATATGTTTAACACCATTCAAA